TCATAGTGTTGCAGATAACTCCTTCTTTATTGATTAATAAAGAATATACAAGACCCCATATAAATATACGACTAGTAACAGTTCTGGATAGACACCAACAGTTATTGATAAGTACTAACTAATCTTACCATAATCTTAGACACACCTAATCTTATCAAGAGATATATACCCATACAATCAATATATATATATATATATATATACACGCTAACACTCCCCCTCAAAGCCAAGATGCTCTGACACAAAACAGCTGGAGTTTGAACAATAAGTTGCATAAATGAACGAGTGGTCTCCATGCTCAGATTGCTTGAACAACAAGCATAAAAAACTATGGCGGATCAACAAGCCTCAAGAACAACAGACGGCATCAGGAACATAAGACTTGAGCCATCAGACAAAAAACTTCAGATCTTCACTAGAAAAACAGTCGAAACAACTGAGAAAACATAATGATATATCAAAGAGCCAACAGAACTCGGTGTGGATCCGAGACAGATTCAGCAACTCACAGTCTAGAACACAAGCCAGAACACAGACAAATGTTGTTTTGCAGAGTGTCGAAACACGACTCAGTAGAGAGTCGAAACATGACTTAGCAGTGAGTCGAAACACAACTCGAAGGCCTTTGCCAGTGTTTCCTTGGTCTATGAGTTTCTCTCACTAAACTGCTAGTATTAATTGATTCAATCATAAATGAAGAGGAGAGCTGAAGTTTTTGTGCAAAGGTGGGGTCTTTTTTCTTTTGTGCTGGATCCTTCAAAGTGCAATAAGCAAATTTGAATTTCATGGTCAAGACCCATTGGAAGTGATGACTACTAAGGATAAGATAGATGCAACAACTGTTGAGGCTTTGGATCCTTTGGTGAGAAAAATGAGGGATGAGAAGTATGGTTGGAAATATGGGTGCAGGGCTAAAGGGTACGCAAAGCTTTTTCATGCATGTTTCAACCCAAGATGCTTTTGGACGTCAACGTAAACGAGAGACTTTTTTTTTTTTAGTAGAGAGAGAAAGACAACATTAGAGAGGGTGCAACTGTTTGATAGAGAGTCAGAATGAATCTGAAGCCGAGCTCAGATCCGGTAACCTCATATCTAAGTTGCGAGCTCAGATATGAAGTTGAGGAGCCTATGACTCTAATACCATATTAAAAACTCATAATACTGCAGAAAACTCTCTCTTTATTGATTAATAAATAATATACAAGACCCTGTATAAATATACTGCTAGTAACAGTTCTGGATAGACACCAACAGTTATTGATAATTACTAATTAATCTTATCAAGAGATACATACACATACAATCAAGAGATATATATACGCTAACATATTAGAAACTCAGAATACTGCAGAGAACTCTCTCTTTATTGATTAATAAAGAATATACAATACCTAATATAAATATATGTTAGTAATAGTTCTGGATAGATACCAACAGTTATTAATAATTACTAACTAATCTTATCATAATCCTATATACACCTAATCTTATCAAGAGATATATACTCATAATCAAGAGAAATATATAGGCTAACCGATATATTACCAATAGCGTGTTGATCCAGAATGTGTCTTCGAAGGGCTTGCTCGACTCTGCAACAATATGTTTCTTTTTCTTTTGGCATGTGAATTTCATATGCCCAAGTTCCTTATAGTAATTGCATTTAGCATATAACCTATCCTTGCGTGGTACATAGGAAGAATTCTATTTAGGGTTTTGTGTTCCAAATTTCGAGTTGCAACAAAAGTTGATTCTCCCATTGAAATAATTCTAAGAGACTTGATCTTAGTCTCTTCTGCAATCAAAGCACCTGAGTGAGAGTAGGAAGAGTAGCTCTGTGTAGCATAGCATTTCTGGCACTCTTAAATTTAGGTCGAAGTGCCATCAGAAATTCAATAACTACCGAACTCATTTCATGATTTTTCGATAATCTTTATACTAGGTCCATCAATGATTTCAGGTTCCATAAGGGCCAGGGCATCCCAAAGCGCCTTCATGGTAAAATAAAAGTCTTGAATAGACTGATCACCTTGTCGAAGTGAATGAAGTTTTAGAACTAATTGATACTTTATTGCTCAGTTAGTTTGGCAATAGATTTATTTCAGAAAAACCTATGTCTCTCAACTATTCTAAAAATTGCTCAAATTAACTCTAATATTTCTCTCCACATACTCCAACAACTAGGCTATCATCCTATCATTATTGACTCCCCATTCAACTAGTTTTGTGGATCATGTGGTTTCTTTTCAGTTCCATAGATATATTCTAAGAGTCAATTTTAGTGGATCACATTTCTCATAAAGGAGGCCCAAAAAGTATAGTTATTTTTATTGAGTTTAACCGGCACAAGTTGAAAAGATTCGGATTTTTCCACTAAGGCGACCAAAAGAATTGCCACCTATAGTTGCAATACCAAAAGAATACAATGGACTATAGAGTTCGGATGTTGAAAAGGAGAAAAAAGGGTTTTAGAGCATGGCATCTTGGGTGACAACCACTAGTTTATAACAGGATTTTGCTATTGGAAAGCTTGAAGACAAAATTTCGGTGGGTCAAAATTTAACTTCAAATTGTAACGAGAATTTGTTTTTGCATTAAGTTAGTAGGCTCAGTACTTTAAGGGAACGTTTGTTTTTATGAAAGATCTCTTTCAGAAAGAAATATTTCTAGTTTTTCAAAAGTTCCACGTTTGACACAGGATTTCCATCTAAAAGTTCAGGAAATAATCTAACAAAGTTATCATTCTTTTGTTAAATTATTTACAAGAATGCAAAGAATTCAACTATTTAAGAGACAGACATAAGTAATTGAAATTGGAAAATCAAGGTTTTAGGGCTAAAAAAATCAATGTTTGAGCTAAGAACTTACTGGTTTTGGATTTCGTTACCTCTAATCTACACCAAAAAGATGCCCAGTAGAGATGTTCCTACTTCTCTGTCTTTCTAGATGATTGGCTGGAAAAAAATCGCCAAAATATGAGAGAGAGCTTAGAGAGATAAAGGGCACATCTTATAGTAGAAAGAGCGAGATGTAAATGACTTAATACGAGACAGATAGGAGAGAAAGAGAGAAGTGGTAGGCTTAAAAGGTTGGGAGGGAAAAGGAGAGCTTGAGAGGGAGATGAGGATGTACGTAGAGGGGAAATGGTTTTTTATTCCCAACCTCCCCACATGTAATAGATCTCACGATATTTAGGGAAATATTGTATAATCTATTTTCGATTACTTATTAATAAATGTACATAAACAATGTAAATGTCATATTTCCTAGTAATCTATTTCCCTTTAATATATTTTCAGGTACCTAAATGGCCTTATACTTGGAAATATTACTATCATAATACAACCTACAAATTGATTGTTGGGTAGTATTTGGGGAAATACATCGCTACTGTTTGGCTATGTCTGGAAGAAATATAGGAAATACATTGCCAATATTTTACCATCACTTGCCTATAAACTATCATTTCTTTCTCTTCTTTTTGTCACAAAATTCCACTCAAATACAGAATTATAGTCATCATCACATTATTCCAAAAAGATTTTCTAATAATAACATCATCATCCTTCCAAAAAGATTTTCTAATAATAACTTGTATCATTCTAAAGTCATCATTACACAATTTCCTATTTATTTTGCATACCTTTGGCACTTACATGGAATCACATGTCTTCAAACATGATTAAACTTTAGTTTCAACATGATAAGTCATTGGAATAATATGAGTGGAATAACATGTTTTTATTGTGATAAGCCTTTTTTATAGAAATCTTTCAAATGTATATCTATATAATTTCAAATAATCAATAAATTTATGATATCAAATTAAAAATCTTTATGGTACAAGTTAAAAAATGGAAAGAAGTTTGATTAGTAAACTAGAAGGTTTGATAATTCCAATAGAAAATTTTGAGGTATTTGAAGAAACTAAAGAGGTATCTTATTTCAATTGAGCTTTTACTAATCTCTTATGAAGATTATGTTGGATTAAAGAGAGAAGGAACACCTTATGCAACCCAGTTATTAGGGTTCAAGCGAGAGGGGACGGGCACCAAACCGAGAGTAAGCGGGTTGGCATTTTATTAAGCAGGCATCGGGCAGAGAGATGCAGACGAAAATTTTCTAAAGATTATACGTCAAGCGTGTAATAGATTTTTTACCGCTTAATGTGTTTCATGATTTTTGTGTACCTAAACGGTAGAAATGTCATAGTTTTTCGTAATCGATTGTCATGTAATAGATTTTCAGGTACCCAAACGACCCTTTCAGGAAGAGGAAGTGGCGAAGCTAAAGGTAAACATTAAAAAAAGGACCAGCAAAGGCTCCTTTGGATGTACCAAGAGAAAACAGTAAAACCTAACAAAATCGACAGCAAACAACGACCCAAAAGAAAACATAGCTAAAGTTCGAGAGCGAGACAGAGAGCGAAGATCTCAAGCAACACAACTCACAGCCAACAACAACCCAAAAAAACAAAGCGAAAGGTACATAAAGAAAAACAGAGTGAAGAACTAACCTCGCTGGGAAATTCTTGGCAACCTGCCGGATTATGAAGAACTAACATCGCCAGAAAATTATCAGCAACCTAGTGGATTATCAAGAATTAATCTCACCTGGAAAAACTTGCCAGATTCTAACAAGACCAAAATCAAGCACCTTTTTCTCTCCAGGAAAAAAACTTTCCAACCGAGTAAGATATAGACCAAAGCATTGCTCTAATACCATGTCAGAAAAAACTTATATATATTTCAATATATTGATCATGCGAGAAAACCCCATATATTTATATAATATTTGACATGTTACACAACATGCGTAAAAAAAAGAAAATAAAATATACAAAAAAAAGGAAAGGACATATCATAGCATGTATGGCGGCCTTTATAATATCAAATAGAAAAAAAAAAAAAAAGAAAGGATATATTATACACGCACACAAATCACATGAAATTTGGTCAACAAGCTTCTAAAACATTCCTCAATCATCTTGCAAAATTTAGATAAAATGAACATCATTTCGATCTGATTGAATTTCGATTATGGTCTGGCAACTAAACCGAACACTAGACTGCAATGAACTTTGCAAAGTGCTCTTCATACTATCCAATTTGTATAAAATTTTGATATAGAGGGACCTCACAACCTGCTTTTATATCTTTATGGTCGTTCCCCTCGTAACCTAGGGCCAAATGGTTGACATAGTTATTCTTACATCAATGCTGACCAACCACTACGATGGCATGTGAATTCGTAAGACGCAATTGCAGTTGCTAGGGTTCCACCTAAAAAAAAATAGAAAACCACCTCCAACAAGCGTAAACTCAAAAGCTGTTTTCTTCGTTAGCTCGAAAGCAATGGATGACTATGGTTCCCACGTGCTCTTTTCGCTAGAAGAATAGTGATAACGTTGACCATCTTTTGCTTTAATGTTTGTTTTCGCAGTTCCTTTGGTGCTCCATTTCTTGGAGATGTGGCAAATGCATTTCTGCAAAACCATATGTGCTCCTCATGTTCACTTAGTAGATTAAAATCAGCTTTAACTCTCAGGGCCTTCAGCATATATTGCATTCTCTCTTTTTTTTACTACTATTTGGATTTTATGGGAGGAGCATAATAATTGGCTTTTTAAAAAGGAAGTCATCTAGACGTGAGACGTAGACCATGTTATTCATCATGTGAGAGGTCTCGCTGCAATAAAGTCTAGGTCTTTCCACCCTCGGAAAGGTTAGTTGTTCAAAGACTAGCTTTTTAGTGGCATGTGCAACAACCCCGGAAATGCATCCATGTCTCATAGGAGCCTCCTCCAATGGGCTACTTCAAGCTCAACATTGACGGCACATCCTTTCAGAACCCAAGTCTTCTCTGGTTGTGGTTGCTTTGAGAGATGAGGTCGGTCACCTTGTTGCATGTTTTGCCAAGCCACTTGGAGTTGCTGCTAACAATTTTGCTGAGTTCAAAGCCGTAAGAGTCTGGTATTGATTTGGCCATCAAATTGCATCTCATTGAAAGTGACTCTAAGCTCCTTATGGACTCTCTCCAAGGCCACCACAAGCTACCTTCGACTCTACAGACCACTGCTGTCAACTGCATGTATAAACTCGCTTCAAATGGCTCTTCTTGGTGGATTTCACACATCTTTCACGAGTCAAATATGGTTATTGACACGCTTGTGAAGAAAGCTACCTTGGTATCTGCTGCTACAGTTTGGAGGGCCTGGCCTCTTGATTTTCTTACTCTTCCAAATTCTTACAATGAAGCATGAGTTCCATATGAAAGTGTTGTAATCTGATGAGCCTGCATCCTTTATCTTTAGTTAATGAAATTAAAAAAATCGGGTGAGGGGCCTTCTTCCCCCACTGACTTACCCCAAAGGAAAAAAAAGTTGTATAAACTTGAGCCATTAAGATTTTTTTTTTAATTAACAGTCGTATGAGACGGCATTGCCAGACACGGGCATGACAGTGAATCTTTCTAATGCTCTATAATGATCAACCCAAGTCTATTAATGCTCAAGAATCATCCTTCTACTGATTGAAAAAATTTCCAAAATTTCAGATTAAAAAAATTCTCCCAAATAAGTTTTCTAACCTAGGGAGTAGAAGTAAATTACGCTCCCGAAGAAAAATAGTATAGATACTCTTTGCAAATAAACCGAGGGCTGAAGTCCTCTAGCCAATTGTTGGATACCTTTAAGATAAAGGTAATTGAACCCAGCTCAATGAATTGGTTGCAGCCACCACCTATGTGTTCTTTTTGTTAAGAAATCATTGTATTCAAATAGTGCCTTTTGGGGATGGAAACTTTGCACAGTTTAACATAATTTTCTAAAATGAAAAGTATTCTTTGCAAACAAGTAACAAGTACTATTATTTATCCAACCAAAAGGTCAGTGCTGCACTAAAATTTTGAAACCAATAAATGACTGCTCCCTTAGTGGCCTACAAGTTGCAAAAACGATTTTCCCATTTTCAACCGTGGATGTACTAACAATACTGCAATCCATAGGAATTTTGAATATGGAGAAATGGTACAACAAATACAAGGAATATATCCCCCACCCTTAAAAAACTTGAAGGTTTCTATTAAATCACCATAAAAATATATTAAAAAAAATTGAATTTTGAATTTTTTAACACAAATATCACCCTTCAAAAACTTGACGGTTTCTATTAAATCATAAGGCATTACTTTTTTCAAGCCCATAAATAATCCGATTTGAAAAAAGAATTTGAGCACATATATTGTGTTCCCGTAGGAGCATACATTGTACACTTGCTCCCACTAGCAAAAGACTAATTTGGGTAGATTTTTTTTATCAGAAAATTTGGGAACGGCCTAAAAATCACTAGAGAGTTATGTTAAAAATTGCATGGTTTCTATTTAATCTTGGGGCATTATTTCTTTCAAGCCCATAGAAAATGCAATTTCAATTTATTTTTTTTATTGAGTATAGCATTGGGTTGAAGAGGTTACATTCGCAAAATTTGGGGTCCTAAAAGTACTATATTGGGTTTTGCTTGAAGCGGTAATGGATAGTATGCTCCCTTGGGAGCATAAATATTTTTGGCAATTTTAATCAAATATAGCACATGAGCTGAAGAGGTTACATCCCATAATTTGATATCCTACAAATGCTCTTAGTTTTCCCCGACGCAGCAAATGGACAGCATGTTGGCTCTAAAGCATGATATCTTTTAGCTTTTTTAAAATCCTAACTGGTCCATGGATTTATCACATCTTGTTTACGATTTCATTAAGATTTTTATGCAGTATACCAACCTCTTGTTATATCAAAATTTTAAAAAAAATTTAATTAGAGATTTCTGATAAGTACACTCAACTCTTAAAATAACTGAAAATGGTCTAAAATAGGAAAAGTTGATTATTTTGAAAAACATAAAAATGATATGATTTAAACCTTTTTCACGACTTTTTAGAATTTAATTTGAACAAAACAAACTAAATTGGTTTAAACCAAATCTGATTTACATTTTGAAATGGATTTTTTACTTAGTTTTTGAGTTATTAACCTATGATTAATACTCTTTTCAAATGGTTATCTTATTTGAAATAGCTTTTCTGATTTCTTTGATTTAGATATGGCAAAAGTTTTTACAAGGTTGCAACCTTCAAATGTAGAATTACAGATGCACCTCAAAAGTCCATCGGAAAAGATTAATTTAATGTTAAAAAACTGAACTGATCATCTCGATATTGAGATATATGAATTTGAAAAAAAAAAAAGAATTTTGCGTCTCAAAAATAGTACATCTTACAACACATTATCTAGACTGTCAATTTTCAAGATTTTCATATGTTTATAGATCTACTTGATTTTAACCATTTTTAGATTTTAAAATTTTATAGTAAGATATGAAAATAGATTTTGAGATAATTCTAATAATTTTGTACGCCAAAATTACATGATGATAAAATTTGGAGGTGCGCTGTAATTGGATTGTTTAAGGTTGCAACCTTATAGAAACCACACCCTTTAAATATAGGGAAAGAAGATTTCTATATCAGAAAAAACATTGGGCAACATGATAAACAATGCTAAATAAAAACAACAATATTCCCTAATATGTCGCTAGGAAACCGCGCAAAACTGGGTGAGTGATTTTCCTTTTGTTTTTTTCTTTTCTTTTCTTTTTTTGGGGTTGAATAATTGGGTGAATGGCTACCTTTTGAACCATTGTTTCATGCAGGCTGGACCGCATTTCTATAATATGCGGTCCGGAGGTATAAAGTGGTTCATCTAAAAACAATTATAAGCAACTGTCCAAATGTTTTTTTTAGTATAATTACTATATCTAGTTTTCAAAATTTATTTATTTTTGAAAAAAATTTATATAAAGTTGCAACTTAAAAATAGAGAATTATAAATGCACCTCAAAAATCCATCGGAAATGGTTGCTTTAGTGTTGAAAAACCCTCTAATTGATCATCTCGACAACGAGATGTATAAATATGAAAAAAAACAAAACAAAACAAAAAAAAGATTTCGAGTCCTAAAAGTAGTACATCTTACAACAAATTATCTAGACCAACCATTTTCAAGATTTTCATATGTTTATAATTAAATATAAAATTAGATTATGAGATAATCCTAATAATTTTTTAAGCCCAAAATTACAATTTTGGAGATACACCTTAATTGGATAGTTTAAAATTGCAACCTTATAGAAACCACACCTTTCAATTTTTTTCATATTTATGACCTCCAAGAATATATATCCTCTAAAAATTAAGATCAAATTATATTTAAATAAATATATTTTACAAATATACTTATTGCATGTAGGGGCTTGACCACATGCTGAGCGCCCCCCGCCGCCCCCTCCCTCCACGCTTGGCCGCTCTTCCGAAGGTCAAATGAGGCCAATAGTCTCACCCTTCACGCTTGGCCACTCTTCCCAAGGTCAATTGATGCCAAGTTTCTCTTAGGCCCTACTTAATCAGGATTAGTGTTTTGAAATTCAGACTGGTTGGTCTGAAACTACGACCTAAATTTTTTTTAAATAAATAACATACAATAAATATTAAATTAAGATTTATGAAATGGATATTTAGAAACAACCTAAAAAAACATTAGATGTACTCAATAAAATAATAAATAGAATTTTGAAAAGGTGCATGTCCAAACTTGAAAATTCCTAGTGTGAGAATATATTTTTATTTTTAATTATAAAATTTCTAAGTCAATTAAATCTACGAATGCATGAAAATCTTAAAAATAAGCATAAAAAATGTTGCAAGACGCCCGATTTTTTAGACTCAAAATCTATTTTACTTTTCATATTAAAGAGTTTTCCAACTTCAAAATAGCAAGATTATAGATTTTTTAAGTAACATTTTAAAGTTGCAACCTTATAAACTTTTTCCTGCTTCTATTCACACTTCATCGTACATAACATCACTCTCCTCATTTTATGAAAGAATTGTATACAATGAGACTATTTACTTTCGATATAAAGTGATCACAGCATCATAAGTGAAATTTGATAGCTTAGATGTCACAAAATTCGAAAAAATTTCTTTAAATTTGAGCTGGGTTAATAAAACAATCGCAGCCACCCAATTTCACATCCAAGATTAATGTCCGGTAACAAAGGTAAAGGTTCTCATTCTATAGTTTCCCTTTTCTGAAATACTTCACCATAACACCAGACTCTCCTGGATACCTTTTCTGAAGTGTTGGGCATAGACAACAAGCCTTTGGGTTGTTCACACGGATTCGCTTCCAATGTTTCATTTCTCAAATCTAAATTCTAACTCTCTCTCTATATCTATCACACATCTTCCATGGAACCCCTCTCAATCTCTGTCTCAAATTTTTTTTTGTCATTTCAATATCATCTTGAACTTCCCTCCACCACGGCTCTTGCTGGAAGCCCAAGGGAATCAAAAAAGAATATCGCTCCAGACTTCATACTTTTCCAAATGACTAAGGTAAACAAACTCTTCTTTAAGACTTTTCCGCCTAATTATATTCCCCACATGCTTCACTCCCACGGGATTACAGGCTTACTCAAAAAGACAACCAAAAAGATCAAACCTTATCTCTTTTTTTTTTCTTTGAACATGGTCTAAAGCAAAAGAAACCAAAAAGCAAAACACACCGAGACAACTCACTCAGGTATCGAACTGCATTTCTTAGCTATGAAATGTTCATGCTTTGATCCAAGTGTATGAAAAGCCTAAAAAGGAATGGAAGCAGCTAAGTTATGCAGAAAAATACCACATTCCCCTCACATGGAAGCAACAAACTTCAAAAAGTACTTTCCAGAAGTCCAAACAGTCAAGAATTTGCACTATATTAAAAAGAGCAATTCAAGAAGATGCCCCCCTTTCTTCCATTTCATCTCCTCATCATCACATCAGAAGCAGGCATCCAATAGGCAGCAGCAGCAAAGGGCAGCCAAACTACACAGGAAAAAAACACCAAAAAAGAGAACCAATTCAAGTTGCCTTCCAATTCCAATTTAAGTTGCCGTCCTCATTATTAATGAGATCTTTTGTTATCCTGAAAATTCATAATGAGCTTTTGGGGCAATTGTTTATATTTTGGGTAATTAATGGTTTCTAAAATTCCTGTTTTTTTCCCAAACCAAATTCCTGTTTTTTTTCCCAAACCAAGTTTTATAAAGAAAATGGGGCTAAATATTACTTAACTTTTGGATGAGATCACCAAAACCGTGGGTGCCAGTTTTTGCTGAAATTGATTAATTCCGGCCAAAACTTGCCCAAATCAATCCTAAGTACTATATTATAAGCTAAATTATACTAGGAATAAGATTCTTACAAATAAAAATCAAACGTTGAAACCTAAAATTGGGAAGAATCCAATCCTAACATTAGGAAATCGGCCCCCACATATAACCTAAACTATAAATTATATAAGCAACAAAAAGGCAGGATGTGATATAAAATAAGCATCACTGTATTATATTTATATTTCATGGAAAAATATGGAAAAGCATAGAGACCTCCTTTGGTACAAGGTGGTCACAATTAATCTTAACCACTGTATACTGTATTTATTTCATTGACCAAGCTCAAAACTTCAAAATAAAATTTAACTAAACTTTATCAAACTAGTAATTGTGACCTCCTTGCATCAAAGGTAGATGGTCTGCTCATTTCATTGACCCAGCTCAAACAAAATAAATTTTAAAAAAAAAATCTCGAACTTCATAACACTAGTAATTGTCTGCTCATTACATACAATCCAAAAAAACAATAACAGGGCAATACCGAATGAGGGTCCATTAAATTTCCTTACAAAAAAGGAATTTGATTACTATTAAATTTCCTGCATTATGACCTAAATCAATTCAACTTCCACAAAAAATTTGGAAAGAACAGGGCTAGATCTATGAATAAGTCTATGAATACCCCTAGATTAGGGCTAAATTTCAGAGACAAAATATTGGAGGGGCATACCATCCTTCAAGAAAAGAAGGACCACTGCTTTGCTGCTGAGGAGGTGGCTGTTGAGGGTATTGTGGAGGGTATCCTGGGGCTGGAGGGTAGCCCTGGGGAGGGTACCCAGGAGGAGGATAGGCGTCTTTAGGGTACCCTTCAGGTGGGTAACCTGCAAAATAATTTAACAAAATAACCGTAACCCTAATTAGATCCAGAACATCGGAGCTATGAAATCGACCAAACAAAGCATAAAAAGAAGCAAAAAGAACAAAAACAGGGAGATTTCTAGGATTTTTGTTTTAGGGGTTTGAACTTTTGAGCCAGAAGCATTCAGAATACTGAAAAGAGGAAGCAAAGAGACAGAAAACAAACCCAAGAATTATCATTATTGACAATAAAAGGGAGAAGAGAAGAGGGGACGTTAGATTTTCAGTTTACAGTGAGATCAAGGAAGGAGAGGAAGAAAGCAAAGGAAATATAACAACAAAAGAACAAAAGCCCCAAAAAAATTGAGTTTTAGATATAAAACTATTCAAAGATAAATCGAGCAAAAGGAATCCTAAAATTTTTCAGTTTATGGAGAGATCGAGAAACCAAACAAATATCAACCCCGCATACTGATCTATATAAAGAACAGAAAGACCCAGAATCCTAATTCTTTGAAAAGAAGAATAGCAGATAACAGCAAACCCAAGATCCTTCCATAGAGAGAGAGAGAGAGAGAGAGAAATAATAGAGTATATTTATCAATTCCATAGAGAGAGAAAAAAATAAAAGTAGTATATTTATCATTTAAAAGAGGGAAAAAACAGGAATTTTCATTAGAGAGAAACCATTAATTACCTTGAGGGGGAGGAACCCCAACGGGTGGCTGCTGCTGGTTGTAGTAGCTCATTCTCAAAGATCTGAAAGCTCTGCGCAAAGAGAGAGAGAGAGAGAGAGAGAATCGGTAGGAAATTGATAGAGAGAGAAAGGGCGACCTCCAGAGAACAATGGAGATATTTGCAAGAGAGAAGCGCAGGCATTTATACGGTCATCGAAGTTTCGCGGCGCGTTCGGCTTGACTACATAAAGCGGCCGAATGAAGCAAGCTAAAAAGTAAAAACTACCAAGTTTACGCGTCAAATACGCGTTTAGGCTCCGATCGGCTCGGCTTCGAGTCGACTAATATTTAAGATTTCCCCCGGGGAAGTACTTTTATCTTATGAAATTCCCCAAGTCGTAATGTACTAAGTTTAACTGGACGGTGTACGATCCTTATAAAAAAGGAATTTTGAATCTGGACCGTCTGTGTAAACCTCGGTAACGTACGTGACGCGCACTTGGCCGAGACATACGGCCGGCAATGGGCTGAATTGGAAACGAACGGCCTTGATGTCTAACGCGTGTTTGAGAATAGATCCAAGCCGTCCATCCCCAATTCGAGAAGTGTGAATGTTTCTTTGTTGTCTTTAGTGGAATACGGTTTTTAGGAGTCCACGGACTCACATGTAGAAATGCGGGCTGCTTAATAATGTATTTTTAAATAAAATTTGATCCAAATTTTGTAGAGAATATATAATTTTTAGAAAAAAGTTTATATAAGGATGCAACCTTATAATGTAACTACAGATGCACCTCAAAAATTTATCGAAAAATGTAGTTTTAATGTTGAAAAGCCCTTTGATTGATCATTTCGACATCTAGATGTATTACCATGAAAAATAAAAAGATTTTAAGTCTTAGAAATAATGCATTTTACAACATATTGTCTATACCGTCCATTTTCACGATTTTCATATGTTTATAGATCTACTTGATTTTAACCATTTTTTATATTTAAAATGTTATAATTAAGTATAAAAATAGATTTTGAAATAATCCTAAGAGCATATTAGATCCAAATTATATAGCATGGTAAAATTTGAAGGTGCACCTTACCTCTACAGCTATGGATGCATTCGTATGCCAACTACACCGTAATCTTTAATGTGGAGATTATTAATATGTATAAATAAATAAATTTTAAAAACTAGAAATACAATTTTTTTGAAAAAAATATTTAAAATGTTAATTTTGCTTTTTCTTTTGGAGACTATTATTTATGGGACCCAATTTTGGAGGATGGTGTAGATCTCCAAGCCCACATAATAACAAGTGCGTGCTTGGAAGTCCCCAAACAATTTTATTTTCCATTCTTTAAAGGGGTGGTTTAGTCCTATAAAAAAAAGTTACACATGTATAGTTCCTACTTTAAACACGAAAAAATTATTTCATGTGAAAAATATCTATGAGCAATGATATCAAGCAACTGTTGTATAGTAATATGATTCAACAACGTTAAAATATTATCTTAAGGCTATCTGTTTGATACAAATTTTGAAATATATACTCTTTTCATTCTAATGAACAATCACAAAAAAAGAAAAAATTGAAAACACAACCTAGAAAGTATTTTTGTAGCCCAATTAACATAGGCCGTTCATTTTTGTGAGATGCTTAGATCTAGGCCTTAGAATGATTTTTTCATTTCCAATATCTTTGGATGACTTTATTATCATTAGATAAGCAACGTTAAAAAGGAGAAATTTGATTTTGAGTTTATAAAGGCTAAGATCTTGAAATTCACAAAATGAATGGTTTAGATTCGTTTTTTGAAATGACTCATTTTAACCATATCTATGATTCAAATTGAATTTTTTTTTTTTTAGCATTGATTATTGAGATGAAAGAGTGTGTATGAAAATTTGGGGTGATACAAATACCACAAACATGGTTTTCTAGAAGTGTCGTTGCATTATACTATGATACAATTGTTGTATTGAATAATTGCTCAATATCTATACTACATTATTAACCAAGAGTTAAAAGGTGGAACTATATCAAATTTCAAGTTTTAGGGAGATAAAATCAATTTTTAGAGAGCAAAACTATTTTAAAGTTTTTAAAGGGAGAAATTATCTCAAAGTTTATAGAGTGAAGCTATTGCAAATCCCAATATTTTAGAGAGAGAAACTATTTCAAAAATTTTATGAAGAGAAACGATCTTAAATTTTAGTTTTAGAGAGAATAACTATTTCAAAAATTTTAGAAAGAAAACTATATCAAATTTTAAGGTTAAGAAAGAGTAACTATCCCAAAACTTTTAGAGAGAGAAACTATCTTAAAAGTTTTCGTAAGAGAAACTATCTCAAAGTTTTTAGAGAGATAAGCAGTCTAAGATTTCATAATTTTATAGAGAGAAACTTTTTCAAAAAATTTAAAGAGAAAAATTATCTCAAAATTTAAGTTTTAGAGAGAGAAAATATCTCAAAAATTTTAGAGAGAAAAACTATATTAAAATTTTTAATAAGGGAAACTATCTCAAATTTTTTAAAGAGAAAAACTATATTAAATTTTTAGTAAGAGAAACTATCTCAATTTTTGTAGAGAGAGAAACTATCTTAAATTTTTTAGAGAGAGATTGTCTCAAAGTTATCATAGAGAAACTATATCAAATTTTAAATGTTTAGAGAGAGAAATTCTCTTAAAATTTTTAAAGGAGAAGTTATCTCAAATTTCAAACGTTTAGAGAGAGAAACTATCTCCAAATTTTTAGACAGATATTACCTTAAATTTTAAGTTTTAGATAGAGATACTATCTTATAACTTTTATATAGAAACTATATCAAATTTTAACTTTTAGAACAAGAAACTATCTCAAAATTTTTAGAGAGAGAAACTCTCCCAAATTTCAATTTATACATGATATAATTTTTGTTTTTAAAAAACTATTTTATTTTTTTGAGAGTAGATACAAAACTAAATAGTATTGAGATAAATGATGTGGTATAAAAAATACTTAAGGGGAATATGCCTGGTAAATGTAATCGAGGGAAGCATCTATAGTTTTCTCTTTTTTTGTTATAAATTCTGTCAAATATAATTAAACGATTATTCTAACAATATTCCCAATTATTCCTACAATATTTGTATAGATACTTTTTTTTATTTTTTGGGTCTATGATTTGCTCTCTCTCTCTACCGATTTTCAAATGTGTTTATCAAATATAGGAAAAAGCAACCTTGAGTAATTCTTTTCTAGTAGATTATTTCCATAATGAAAATATTTTTTTTGTGAATATTTTCCTCCCAAACCATTTGACGTGAACCTAATAACCCCTAGTAATTAATAGTGAAAGTGAGCTTTTGCAATTTATTTGTTGGTAAAATGTGCGAGCCTCGAAATTTAAAAGAAAAATTTATCCAAATACCATAGATGAACCGTCATACTATGCTCAAATTTTTTTATTTAATTTTAAAACACGCTTCAAAAGATATATGATCATGAGTTAAAATAGTTGCAATGATAAATGTTAAAAGGCTAATTTCTTATAAGTGTTTTGAAAAATTTTCCATTTTAAAATAGGGAAAAGTATACAAATCGATCATTGACGATCAGGAGGTCATAATCACGTTTATTCGTCAGATTTCAAATCAGATGATTGTAAGAGTGTCAATCACCTGACACAAAGTTCCAAAAAGAAAGTTGTAGTAGGTCAACTATGGACTTGACTTGACTGGGTCCTAGTGGGATCGAGACCTAATTAGAGCTCAAACCTGACCTTGTGTATGAATCAAAAAATACTTTGTTATAAATACTTTATTTTATATATATATACTACATTATTAAGTCGTTAAAGGGTGAACACGTTTCACAAAAAAAAAAAAACCTAATGCATACATAAGATAGGATATATATTATAAAAATAAAGAGAGTTTAAGATATGGTATCTTTCTAATTAGATAAATCAAATTCATTTTTCAAGAGAGGTGAGAGACTTTGATGGAAACTTATGTATAGGGGAAAAAGATATGAAACTTGAAGAGAAATAATGCATAAGAGATTTAGAGATTTTTATAAACTATTATATATAGGAGAGAGAGAGGGAAATGTATATCGAGAGAATGCATAGAGAGGCAGAGATATATAG